ACTATATTATAGATTAATTATTATATTATAATATTTTTTATTATATATTATATTATAAGATATAATTACTATATAATATATTTTAATTATATTATAATATTGAAGGGTAATTATGAAAAAAAAAATTAGAATGGTCATTCTTCTCTCATGTGAGGAAGGAATGATAATTTATCAAAAATAGGTGAATGACCATTCTTTTTGAATGATCATTCATTTCTTATAAATTTAACCAAATATCAAACTAGAATTTCATTCTATTCCATTCATTTCCACCCAACCAAACACACCATAAATGGAATGGAAGTATATTTGAGGTACACCAGATCAAGTCGAACAAGTAATCAAATATTGTCGATGTACTCTTTTGAAAGAAACCTACGATTTTTGCTATAAAAAAAAAATCATATGATAATAGTATTGTTGATGTGTTATTTTTGAAAGAAACCTATAATAATAATATTCAAGTCAAGTATATGTTGCTTATAATGTCAAAACAATATAGGAACTGTACTAAAAATTGATTGTAAGCAAATATATTCATTGAAGCAATAATGTAATCAAAATGGAGCCCAGAACGGATTGTCTGGGTAATAAAATTTGATTGTATAATAATTTTAATTTCGTCTTGCGCTGAATATAATAATTTTATTTATCTATATTTATTAACTAACGTCAACATAAATATGAAATATGATGGCTCGGTGGCAAATGGCAAGTTGCTGTTATTTTTATTTATTTATTTATTTTTGCTAACCAAAGTTGCTGTTATTTATGTCCATAAGTGGAAATAAATTCGAGCTTGTCCTTTAGGGCAAAATAAATATTAGATCTAAAAGTAAAATAAATATTTAAGACTTTTCTGGTGCGCTAATATATCAATAGGTTAAGTTTTTTATCAATTAAATATGCATAAAATCACGTAAAAATTAAAAAATATACATATTTAATAATTAAAATAATCTAATCTATCGATACATTAAACGTATCAAAAAATCTCTCTAAACTATTTTTGGTTCAAAAATCAGGTTATAAAACAACTAGTCAGTAAAATATAAATATAAAATAGAGGAAATGACTTTGTATGTTGGCATTTAGCAGGCATTCTATACTTTTACAGTCGGATTGGATTCTGTTTTTGGCTTAGTGTGCCGATGATAATTTTTTTCTTTTCTCTTTTTTTTTTTTTTTTTGTACAAACCGCGTTAGATTCTTTTTTCTGTCATTTTCTATTGTTTTCCAATAATATAATGACGCAATACTCCCAAAGTTGAGTGAGATCATCCAGTTTCTAGAGAGTCGGTATAAAAACAATAATAATAGGTTTAGAGGGAGGAAAAGTACTTTCTTTATCTGGTGGAGGAGGAGCAAAAAGAAAAAAGTTTCAAAATCGCCATTTTTAGCTTTCGAAGGTTAATAGCACGTTAGGTCTCTAAATAAGTCCGTTTAGTTTGTTAATTTTAATTTTTAATTTGAGTTGATATGTAACTTTATGTGATAATTTTTTATTGTAGTAAAAAAATAAAATGTGACTGTTTCTGATAACTTTTTACTGTGACAAAACTCGAATCGATGAAATAAACAGAAAAATTTAGATAATTTAATTCTCAATAAAATTATACGAGAGAGAAACTCTTAAATTAGTTTTTATCAATGTTAAAAATAGGACTGAAAATACTACGTGAAATGAACATGACAATCTTTTTAAGCGCAACTGCAAAAATAACATTGAAAGCTTATCAATAATCAAAATAACAAAATTTTTTAAAGAACCGCCAAATTAAAACCATAACTGCTTGACATGTAGATAATTTTATAAGAGCAACCGAGTTGGTAGCACCCTCTACCCTTCACAAGTTAGAGCCCCTACTCCGGCAACACCCTACCACATGACATCTATCCGACGCTACGCTCCCACAATGTGACATTCCGTCCACAACAATGCAATGGGACAGATCAAGATAAAATTTTACTGGCCTAATCCAAATAGAAGATAAGACTTAGGGCTTGTTCTTTTGATATTTTTGAGTTATGTAACTTAAGTGTAGATTTTAAGTTGAGTTTGAGTTATAATTTGAGTTGAAGTTATAACTTGAGTTTGTGTTTGGTTGTGTACATTTGAGTTATGGTTTGAGATAAGAATCTTTTTTGAGTTTGTGTTTGAGTAAGTCAAAACTTAAATTTATTTTTATATAGTATTTTAATAAAAACTCAATGCTAATGAAAATTTTTAATAGAGTATATGGGTCTAATTTTATTCGTCTTTTCGTTGTCAACGCATAGAAAAAAAATCATCTCAATCAGAATTAAAACGAAAAAGTTATAGCATTTGTAAGAATAGAAAAAATATTGTTCATTAACTTGAGTTCGAGTTTCTGAACTCGAGTTGAATGGGAAACTTGAACTCGAGTTTTAGTTCCAAACTCGAGTTTAAAATCGAGTTCAAACTCAAGTTCAAACTTAAAAGAACATGAACTCGAATAAAGTTATAACTCAAGTTATTTTTTTTTTAGTTTTTAACTCAAAATTCACCTTGCCGAACAAGGCCTTAGTGGACGTTTGGTTCGTGAATTTAGAATTATTCTTGTTTTACGTGTGTTTTTTGTGAGAAAAAAATACTGTAGAGAATCATAAATCATGATTCGGAATCAGAGACGAATACAAAAATAAAAATCCCCTTAGAAATCCAAATCCACGTAAACATATCTAAATTCCTAAATTGTTATAGGAGAGATATTTAATTATAACATTCAATATTTTAATATTTAAGGCGGACTATTACAATAATTAATATAGTTATTTTTAATTCATTTATATAATATGGTAACGAAATATCCATCAAGACAAACGATAAACTAAAAAAATAAAATTGAGGTCCTGTTCATTTCATCAATTCGAGTTTTTAATTTCAGTTTTGTTACAATTAAAAGTTCTCATAAAAAGTCACATCTAACTTTTTATGCTACAATGAAAAGCTCTCACGTAAAATCACATCTCAACTCAAATTAAAAACTCGAAATCTACAAACTGAACCAGGCCTAAAACTAACGATATTGAATATATAGGTTTCATTCGCTTTGCAGATTCAAGTTTTCAACTCGAGCTGAGATGTTATATTTTCTAAGAGCTTTTAATTGTAGTAAAAAAAATTAAACGTGATATTTTTTAAAAATTTTTAACTGTAAAAATTTATAATTAAAAATTTAAATCGGTAGAATGAATAAGGCCATAAAAACGACTATTTATAGCCAAATCTTCTTCATCACTCGAGGCGGTGAACCTCCCTCGCTGCTTCTTTGCCGCGAGCCTTAACCCAACAACCCCCTTTCATTCTTGGGATATTCCTAGGATTTATTATTTTTCTTAAAAAATAACTTTTTTTTTTTTTTTTTTTTTTCTGAGATGCGCAATCCATTTCTTTTCAATCTTAAATTGACGGTTTGGACTGATGACATTATATTTTTTTTTTGCTGCAAAATTATACCGGAAATCAAATTATTACAAACTTTACAGTTGAGAATCGAATGTCGAAATATCCATCACATTCACATACATCTCACAGACGTATCCAACGAAATTTCTTAGAATTAAAAAAAAAACCATTATTCTTTTTTATTTCTTTATTTATATAAAACTCCAAACCAAAAAAAAAGAAAAAATCTCTCGCGAAAATGTTGACTTTGTCTCCAACCCAACCCGTTGAAAGTGACATTCATGTTTCATATGCCCAAACCAACCTTTGGAAATTCACGCCATCGCTCGTGTTTGTTTTCTTTTCTTTTCTTTTCCTTTCCTTTCCCAGCTCTCCAATATTTTCAATATCAAGCTTCTTTTGTTTACTTCTCTTCTTCCCTCCAAACCCTTTCACATCTCCTTTCTCTTTCTCTCTCTTCAAATTCTGTCTCAAAAATCACACACAAATTATAAAACTGAGGAAATGATTCTCAACTAACAGTAAGCCCTTTCTCTTCTAGTGCACGTATATTGTTTGTTTATAATTATATCTGTATCACTGTTCTTTTGCATAACTATATATCTCTATGTGTGTGTGTGTGTATGTATAGTGGCTTTATAGTGATTGAAGATGACCATGGAACGAGGCCAGCCAAATAGTTCATCAGACTCACCGACGAGATCAGACTCATCTTCCGCCGCGAAATCGCCGACGGCGCTGTCGATCGAGTGCCTGAAAGGAAGCTCAAAGGCCGACGAGTGGACCGACGACATGCTCCAGACCGGCGACATAGTGGAGGAGCTCCGGATCGGGACCTCGATCACCGTCAAATCGCCCTTCAAGAATGGCCGGAGCGGCGTCCAGAAGATCCTCCACGGCTCGTTTAGGGCAAAGGACACCTCGATCCTCGTCCGAGTCCGCCGCGGCCGCGACGAGTTCGCCGAGCTCCAGGCCTGCATCGTCCCCAACGAATCCGCCGGCAGGAAGCAGTACATGCTCCGCTCCATCGACGATCCGAACTACGCCGTCGGGTTCCTGGATCGGACCGAGTCCGATTGCTTCGATCTCCAAGGTATTTTCCTTTCGCATGAATCTTTGACTTTCCGTTGACCTTCCTCGCCCGAGTCTGTTTTTCGCACGCGCGAGGATGTTCATCGCTTGTTGTCATTATAATATTTTGGGTTCTTACCTTCTACTTTTCGATAATTAATTGCAAAAAATTATCAACTAACTCCAATTATAAGAGTAAATGTTGATCACATAGGATGTTTTGATACTTTAGTTCTTGAAAAATTATAAGTCTTTTGGTAATTTTATCTCTGAGTTGATCATATAATTCTCTGAAATTTAACCCCCTTAATAATTAAAATTAATTATTGTTTTTTCTTTTGGAAAAAATTATTAATAAATTGTTTTTTTTTAAAAGTGAAAATGGAAGTGTCATACCGTTACTAAGTTTGGGAACCCAAATACTTAAAAAAACTTAAATTGTAGTTGTCAATTTCTTGTTGATCTTATTCATTGCATAAAATATTTTGGGAAATCAATATATGTTTTTTTTTGTTTTTTTGTTTTTTCATTGAGCTTCAGAAATCTATATACTTAAAGTAACAGGATTTTTTATTAGGCAAGTTTATAAACGATATTTTACAATTTCAGAGTTTTCTATTGGAGGTTGAGTGCCTAACAAAGGCCAAGTGGTTTTGGAATCTTTTGTTGACTTTTTGAAAGCTTAAGTTTTCCTGTTATTGTCGTATTTTCTTTCTTATCCTCTTCCTAAATCAATAGTCGACTTATTTAAAAGAGCCGTCTCTTTCCTTATTATTTTCTTCTTTGGACTTCAAAAAAGTTAATCATATTACCCATGAAACTACGAGGAATTTACTGACGTTTTACTCACAAAGTTGTGAACTTGTGATTGCCCCACTTGGCGTGGTCATCATTTGAATCCTAGAATCCTAGATTCATAATTAGTACTTTTTTAATAATGCTTGTTGGTATATATCGTTTTCAAGAACGTGTTGGCTGCAATCTGAAAGCGGCACCAACTTTATATAGGCCAACAGCTGCATAATATTCGTGACTTCCTTTTTGTGATGATTGATTTATATGTTTGATCAGCTTGATCGCAACCTGTGGTTTTTTTTTTCCTTCTTAGTGGAAACGTCCCAACCTGTGTTCAGTTCACATGATATTAGTGATTTCACTCTTCAAACTTTACGATGATGCATAAGACTCGTCTCGGTGTTGTTTTCTCATTCTTTTGATCAATTTTGAGGGAAGGGTAGCTAGCAAAATTATTGTAAATCTTAGCAATGAGTTGGTGAAATTACAATGCACATGTTACATCATTTTTTTTCTGTCACTTTTATATTGAAGGAATATTCTCAAATGTGAGATATGTTTTGTAGCTTCAAGGGGTGCGAGGATGGTTAATGCGTTGACAAGGACTCGGCTACAAGATGGATATGTCGCATATCCATGGGAGAGGAGGATGCATGAGTTGCTAGCGGTTCCAAATTTTAGCTCATTTTTTTCTTTACTCCTTCTTCCAAAGGCTTCAGATCGAGCTGCTTCTCGTTACAACGACCTCGAGGATAGTCTTGCCAGGGCAAATGCGTGGCTTAATGCGTCTCAGGCCTCCGGAGTTCCCATCGTTTTTATGAATATACAGACTGAATCCTTGCTTACCAAGGTAAAACTCCCTAACATTTCACAAAAACTATCAGATATATGTAATTGAGCTACTTTTTTTGGTTGCATATTTCAAATCTCAAATTTAATATCTAAAGCGCTGATGGTGGTTATCTAAATGCAAGTTTGATGAGCAAAAAAAAGAAAAAAAAAGCTACTTTAATGACTTTATCAACACTGGAACTACTTAGTAATATTTTTCCTTTTGCCTTATGTCCCGTTAGATTATAGAGCTAATAGTTTAAGCTTGTGTAGGTTTCTTTGAGTTTCAAGGTTGGATAAACTTTTATTAGGTTCATTTATTTATGTTCCGGGTGTATAACAGATTTCAGGAGAGACAGCTTCTTCCACTGTGAACGCCGGATCATTGTCTGATCTAGCAAACCTTGCAAATGCAAGTTTGTACGGATTTGAGGACTACCATGGGGTTGATATTGGCGTTGTTCGAGCAGTTCGGCTGTGGTATGCACCTCTGGGAGAAGAAATTGCTATTGAAATAAAGATACAAGAAGGCGACACGAAACTTGGATTTGCCATCAGTCGTACTGAAGAGGTGAGCTCGTAATTAAGTTTCTCTCAAAGCCCTGACCAAATTCTTATAGTAAGTAGCTAGCACGTAATTTCATCAAACACGGGCCTGCTTAGCTTATGATTTTCTTGTAATTGACAGGGATTTATTTACGTGTCATCAGTTATTGATGGCAACGAGGACGTGCCTTCAAGCCGATCAGGACTCAACAATCTTTACAAACTAGGGATGAACACATCTAGGCTCCTGGTTGTGTCAAGAGTGTCAAACCAGAAGGTCCTGCCATGGATGGTGTCTTCAACAGGAGCGGTTAGGTGCTTTGACACCGTTTCACTGAGCCAGAAGCTTTCCTTGCACCGGCACGCCAAGGTACCAATCATCATTCACGTCTTTTTGTGGGACAGGGCATTGGTCTCACCAAGAGTAAGCCAGGCCAGGGTAAGGGCTGCTTCCCAACCTGTGCTGCCATTACCACCCGAAGTTCAGTTATCGCGGCACCCGAATGAGAACCAAGTACTGCCTCTGCCTATTGAAGAATCTCATGATAGCGGTGAAGATGTCGGTAATAGTCGAGAGCCAAGGCTTGTTCGAGATACGGCTGGGGAGCTCTCCTTTAGATTCCATGATTTTGCACTGTCTAGCAACTGGGTGTAATATATATATAAATATATATATATATATATATATATATATTTCCATACTGCTTTGTTCTTCTTTTGATTGTTGTGCATAGAGAAATCTTTATTAGTAAAGAGTTGCTCTTTAGGCCACAGCTTGCTATGGAATTTTAGAATAAAATCTACTCCACAATAGTACAACATCAAGGTGCGTAGATGTTAGTCATTCTCTCATCACGTGGGTTTGTGCATGTAAGAAACACGTACCGTAGGCGGCAATTGGTCATTTTTTTCTTCACCTTGTAACTAGTCCTTTAGGATTATATAGGCCATGTTTCATATTGATCCTATTTTTATTTTTCACGTTTTCTTAAAAAAAAAAAAAAACGTTTTTAAATCGATGTTTGGCGCAATAAAGACAAAATCGGAAATGTAAATGATTTTTTGGTTTAGTATAAAAATGAGAGAAATGAAAAACGACTTTTAGTCGTCTTTTATTTTTTATTTTCGTTTTCTCTTCTCTCGAGTAGAGAGAGAGAAAGAGAGACATTAATGAGTTTTTTTATATAGAAAATAATCTTTTGATAAAATTACTAAACGCATTTTTAAAAATGATTTATGTTTAAAATTGAATCTAAAGAATAGCTTGGAGCAAAAATTTATACAACATCATGAGCACGTTCTCCCATTTTTTTCGCTGATTCGAGTTTTGCTACAGTAAAACAAACGCATTTTTAAAAATGATTTATGTTTAAAATTGAATCTAAAGAATAGCTTGGAGCAAAAATTTATACAACACCAGGAGCACGTTCTCCCATTTTTTTCGCTGATTCGAGTTTTGCTACAGTAAAAAGCTCTCAGAAACAGTCACATTTAACTTTTTGTTACAATAAAAAGTTCTCACACAACATTACATCTCAACTCGAATTAAAAACTCGAATTAGCAAACCGAACGGACCCCTCTGTACGTAATTCGGATCAAACGAATAATCTATCAAGCAAAAACGTGATAAGAACACCTTAATGAGCAGTAAAAACTCTGCAAAAGAATAAAGTAAGGTGCACATTGGTGTGGCCGAGGAAACTCTAACGCTTAAATCAACAGACTTGTCTTTAGAATTTGATAGAGTTTCAGTATTTCGGAAGTACAGCATATCTTCGACCCTCCTACGTAACTTATAAACCATAAATGATGATAAGTATATTTTTAAGTTTGCCTCCAATATTAAATAAAAAAATATAAACTTTTTTGTTAGGGTTTGGTTGAATGAAGACTCTCTTAATGAAGGAGCGACCCGGAGATATTTTATCTCCCGCACTAATTATTGATAACTTAATGCAACGTCACCGGTCAAGATTTCCAGTCAGGATTTCCGCACTAATTATTGATAACTCTGCATAGGAATCACCAGTCAAGATTTCCCAAGTGATGCATTAAGGCGACGGTCAATTAAAAATCTTGACTCTTCTTCTTTTATAAGTAAGTCGAAATGTTGATAAGTATTGACAAGTTGATAATCTTAAATGTGTTACGACCTACAGAATAACGTTGTCAAATTCAACGGATGTTACCCTTCAATACTTCTGATACTATCATACAATTATGCAAAAGAAACAGCATTTAATATCTGCAGAAATTTTAAACATTGCTGAGGTTAATTTGTTATGTTCGCAACTTGCCGTTTGGTTGTCCTAAGAAACATGTTACATTAAAATAACCCGAAGTCAATTGTTTTTCTTTTCGTGGGGGGCTAAATAAGAAGCCACATGTCATTTTTACTCCACATTTTGCTTTTGTGCGAGTATTAAAATTATTTGTAGATCCTTGTGCAGAACTAGTGATTAAAGCTGAAAGGACGACACCTTATTATTTAGTATTTATTATTTATTTAGGAGCTATTTTTTTATAACGAAACTTTTGAACTCGACTTATAATTTTATTTAAGTTTATATTCTTTTGTAAAATTTGAGCTTGAACTCAAGTTTAAACTCAAGTTTAAATTCGAGTTTAAACTCGAGTTTAAACTCAAATTTGAACTCGAGTTCAAGTTTTTCCTTCAACTCGAGTTCATAAACTCGAACTCAAGTTAATGAATATTATTTTTTCTATTCTTAAAAATATCATAACTTTTTCGTTTTAATTTTGATTGAGATGATTTGTTTTCTATACATTCACAATGAAAAGACGAATAAAATCTCATTCATATACCCTATTAAATTTTTCATCACCATTGAATTTTTATTAAAATACTATATAAATACAAATTTAAGTTTTGACCCACCCAAATACAAATTTAAAAAGATTATCAATTCAAATAATAACTCAAATGTGTACATCCAAACACAAACTCAAATTACAACTTTAACTCAAGTGGGTGTGTTCGGTAGCCTTCAAAAACTCAAGAAAAGGCAACTCGAGTTCAAACTTTATTCAAGTTTATGTTATTTTAAGTTTGAACTCGAGTTTAAACTCGAGTTCGGGACTAAAACTCGAGTTCAAATTTTCCCTTCAACTCAAGTTCAGAAACTCGAACTCAAATTAATGAACAATATTTTTTTATTCTTAAAAATGCTATAACTTTTTCGTTTTAATCCTGATTGAGATGATTTTTTTTTCTATGCATTGACAACGAAAAGACGAATAAAACCCCACCTATATACCATATTAAAATTTTTCATCACCATTGAGTTTTTATTAAAATATTATCTAGATACAAATTCAAGTTTTGACTTACTTAAACACAAACTCAAAAATATTCTTATCTCAAATTATAACTCAAATATAGACAACCAAATACAAACTCAAATTACAACTTTAACTCAAGTTATAACTCAAATTCAACTCAAGAACTATACTCAAGTCACACAAAGAACAGCCCCGATTATATCTCAAACTCAACTTAAGATCATCACTCAAGTTACTCTAACTAAAAAATGTAAAAGAACAATCCCGTAGTTTGTTATTTGAATTATCCTGTCGTTTATCACTTGTACAACCGGATGTCATTTGAATTTTAAATTTTTGTCGTTTACTGTGAAATCGACATGTAAGTTTGATCGCTTATAAGTCTAACGACGATAGGCCGTTTTTGTTTCAAATTTTGCCGTCGTTTTAGTCGTTTGTCATATAAGCCGTAAGCGACAATGTATGAGGTTTAACGTCATTTATCTTTCACAAGAACAAAAAAAATAATAAAAAAAAAGAGTTTAACGTTTAGAAATGACAGTCTTGTTCTTTCTTTCTTTTTTTTTTTGTGTGGGTTAAATAATGAAATTATATGTCGTTTATTGTATGGTCGAGCTCGATCTCATGCCCAAAACCATTTATCACCACGCGCCATTCGGAATTGCGAAGTATCGAAAAGCGGAAGCTTATTGGTCAATTCCGAGAGGCACGGATCGCAATCCGCGTCTGGTTATTATAAACATCTGACCGTCGATTAAGTCCTACATCAGCGGTTCGAAGTTTTCCATTTTAAAACAAATTTAAAAATTTCGTATTAGCGCCATTATCCCCCGCCGCTATAAATATACCGCAAAACCACTTCCTTCTCATCAGCAAACATTTTCCCAAATTTTCTCAGGAAACGAACACCCAAATCCTTCACCACTTCCCAATTCTCATATCTCAACACCAAAATGGCTCGTACCAAGCAGACCGCTCGGAAATCCACCGGAGGAAAGGCGCCGAGGAAGCAGCTGGCGACGAAGGCCGCGAGGAAGTCAGCTCCGGCGACCGGAGGAGTGAAGAAGCCTCATCGATTCCGGCCTGGAACTGTGGCTCTCAGAGAGATCAGGAAGTACCAGAAGAGTACCGAGCTTCTCATCAGGAAACTTCCATTCCAGAGGCTGGTGAGAGAAATCGCACAGGACTTCAAGACCGATCTCCGATTTCAGAGCAGCGCCGTCGCTGCTCTTCAGGAGGCTGCCGAGGCTTACTTGGTCGGTCTCTTCGAGGACACCAATCTCTGCGCGATCCACGCCAAGAGAGTGACAATCATGCCCAAGGATATCCAGCTTGCTCGTAGAATTAGGGGCGAGAGGGCTTAGTGTCCCAATCTTGAATCGTATCTAGGCACAAGAAAATCAAGTGGAATATTAATCTATTTAATCCTCAGGTGTTGTTTTTGTGAAGAAAAATATGTGATGTATCTTTTTAGGTTTTAGTTTGAACTTTTGAGTAATAGATGGTGTATATCTGTTGCTTAATCTAATGGCTAGTTGGATTTCGTTATTTGATTTCTGGACTAACCAACTTGATTCAGCACTACGTATCTGAATATATGTCATATGAATGATTTCAGATCTATTTTCTGTTTTACATTTCTTAAATCTCCAAAGAATCACTTAATATTTCCTAGAAACAATCACCGATGAGCAAATTAAAGGAACTGCAAAGACGAATTGAAGAACCAAAAAAAAAAAATGTAATTTGATCTAGGAATTTTATCCCCTGTATAATATATGCATATATGGCTGGATAATTTGGTGTTTTAAAAGACCCGATCCGACCGTTTATATTGCCTGACCCGTTAGATCCGCGTAAAGTGGGAGGAAAAAATCGGCGGGAAATGGAGGTGTTAAATTGATCAAATTCTAAAGAAAAGAAAAGTAATCTGACTTCAATCTTTTTCTCCGCTATCCAATCTGGGGATTCTGAGTGATTTCGATGGACAAATATTTAGTGTCTCTGAAACCCCCAAAGCAGAACCCTAAACCGAGTCGGAGTAAGAGGTAGTTCCCCTTAATCCTCTTTTTTGTGTCGGAAAATATGGTTAATTTCAGATTCTGAAAACGCTAATTAATCAGGCAAGAATGGGACCGGAGCCTAATCGAATTGAACGGAAGGTTTGACCGCAAGTACCGCCATTCGCTCTCCGCTCTGCTCATTCAATCCTTTTCTCAGGTCCTCTAAATTTCTTTTATTTCACAGCTCAATTTTCTTTTCCATTCTCATATTTCTAGATTTAATTTTTGTACAATAATCTTTAGGTTGGGGCATTTCATCATTTGTATGACATCGATGGCGTACCTTGTCAGACCCATGTATGTACTATTTTGCGTGGAGATTTTTTTTTTCCTTTTAATTTGGTTCAGTGTTCTTCTGTTCTTGTGGGAATTGGGATGTAAATGCTTAATTTTACAGATAAATCGAATTACTAATGGCGGGTATATTCACGGCCAACCGCCCTTTAGAAAGTCAGTCTCTCTTTTTCTCTCTTTGGTATGGCTTAACTCTACTTAACGTTTCTCTTACAATGGATTTTCAATGATTCTTTTTTTGTTTTTGTTAGGGAGGGAATTTCTGCACTGGACTTTGATAGCAAGGTAAATTCTATTTCTTTTTTGTTCTGCTAACATGAGTTAGTGTGAGCGGAACATTGATATAAATGGTTAGCTTCTTTATCTACTTCCCCAGTTTTTGAGCTCCGTTTTATCAATCATCCCTTGTTTTTATCAGGGAATATACCTGGTATCTGCGACAAAATCCGGGTGCTTAACAGTTCATGATTTTGAGACTCTCTATTGTGAGAGTAGTAAATCGTCGACATGTAAGTAGTAGAAAAAAGTGCCTAGGCTACAAGTGCTTTTTTTAAAATAAAAAAAAAATTATATCTGAGCATTTTTATGTTGGTGTGATGGGTTCTTAATCGTTTCATTTTTTACTTGATTATGAATGAAAAATCTTCTGTCAAATGCCAATACATCCATTGCTCATCAAAAACACTGTTTTTAGCTCTTTTTGTTCACCCCCTCTTTACTGTTAGGCTTGGAGAACACGGCGACTAAACTTGTCCTGCACCTTTCGAAACATCAACAGCTTGACTTCGTCAGATGGAATCTTGCCAACCAAGAGGAGGTTTAAAATCATTTAAATTTTCTGTTTTCTTTTGATGTATTTGTAGATTCTAGGTAACTAGCTTCTGACTTGTGTCCTGCATAGAAGTTCGCTCGCCATCGCTGATATGTTTCTTTGTTTAACACTTTGGTTGTTTGCTTTAGGTTGTTTGCAGTTCTATGAAAAGTAATGAGTTACTCATATTTGACGTTGGTTACATCTCTTCTGAACCATCCCAAGTAAGTTGCCCTTTTCATCTTCACGCTGATGGTATTTACCTGGTTTATTCTCAAGTATTTGTAAAAATTCGTTTGGAATTAATTAATGGTTCAGCTTGTTCTTTCTTTGCGATTTATTTTACCCTTTATCTAGATTCTTCAATCTGGTATCATCGTACTTGGAATGGCATCCTATCTGTATAATAGTCATTTTGTTCCATTGATATGATGCAGGTATTAAGAACAAGACTTTCTGCCTCTCTCCATGGCTCAAACATTCATAAAGGTCTCTCGGATATAGCTTCCACTCCCATTGATGATTCAAGGTGGGCAAAAAGGATGATAAAACCAGTTTATTTTCATACTTAATGTGGCTTTTATGGAAACAGAAAACTAATTAAAGGTAGACGAAAAATTAAATGAACCCAATTTAATGCTTGGGGTAAGTTGGGGTGTTCATAACTTCATATAGTTAGAGGTGTATTTATATAACTGGCTACATAGCAAAAGGTAGAAAATCAAACGTAGGGCTTTACATGTGATGGCCTCTTTTCATTTGTTACTTTCTATCAAGTGAGTTCTAAGGGAATGAGTTCCAAGAATCTTAAGCTTGATCTAGGTTCCAGTAGGCCTTTGGTTTTTCTTTGAACACTGTAAATTTGTATGCAGTAACAGTTTACTTTTTCCATGGTTACGAATAAGCCCCGCATCATATTTACTTGTGCTATTGCTAGGTAGCACGTGAGTTGATAGTCTAACTGGGAAGGGCTATTTTGGGAAATAATGCAAGTATGGGGAATTGTGTTTTCTGTTTTTGAATTTGGTAAGATATGTTAAGTGAGAGGGGAATACAGGGAGTTTGAGATAGAATGTTAAGCAAGCAGTTAGTGTGATGGTGGAGAGCTAGACTCTTGGGAGAGAATTGAGCCAGTTCATCAATAACACAATCAGTTTTCATTTCTGTTTTTGGTGTTCTATCAAGTTACCATCTATATGAATTAGTTGGACTTGGATAGCATAATCACTTTTCTTTGGTGCTTAAATCTTGATAGGTTATTTGCGTCTGATACGCATGGCGTAGTCAATGTATGGGACAGAAGAATGAGTTCACTTCCATGTCTTGAACTTACTACTAACTCTCGCATTGCCCTTAATAGTATTCAGTTAAACGTGGAAAACCAGGTAACCCTCTTTGTTTCATCTTATTTCGACCTTTATGACAGATTAACATATGTAAACCCGTGCATGGATCATTGTTGCTAGTTTGTTTGATGTGGTTTATGGTGTATAATGGAATTGTTTACATTTTACTGAATGTTAGCTGAAGTTTTTGTATCAACATGTTAAAAAAATCTACATTTTAATTTTTTAAGTTGAAGGTTTATAATTTCATTATGGATGTAAATTTACTTTTATTCATTACAGATCATTTTTGGGGCCAATAAAGACGGGGTTCTTTACATGTGGGATCTTCGTGGAGGAAAAGCATCTGCTGCTTTTCACAGTCATAAAGAAGTAAATTGGCATCATCATTTCTCTCTACAATTCATTGAATGTTAGAGTTTAGCCCCATGAAACAGCTTTATAATAATAATTAGAAGCAATTGCAGAAGACATAAGTAATCAATCTTTATATTTATTTAGGTGACTTCAGTTAATGTCGTTAGGTAGGTGTTGTCAAGTTTTATCCTTCTATGTCATGACTAGACTGAGCTTTTTACAATATATGTATTATGTTACTAGTAAGTTTTAAGTCTTATATAATGTACAAATTTGGATATTGGTGCATATATGTTCTTAAGTAGTTGATCGCAATCAATGTTGGGATCTTGTGTTCGTCCAGATTTCTCATTCAACCCTCATGTCATTGAAGTTAGCATCAGCGATAGAGAAAATTGAACCTCTGAAGGTATTTTGATGATATTTACTATTCAGTTCAAAAAGCCGTCAAATTATCTTATTTGTTCTGGAAAAAGAAAAAGAAAAAGAAAAAGAAAAAGAAATCATCTTTTGGCTATTATTTACTTGCATTATCAAACTCATCGTGCATAATGAAGCTCATACAATGTATCTAACGGGAAGTTTTTTCTGTGCAGGCACAATCAGATATAATCGCAAAGGAAATACACTCCATTGATCTTGATCCATCTTGCCCATACCAACTAGCATTTCACCTCAATGATGGTTGGTGAGTTGGGGAATGAATTTTCTTTAACTACACCAATAACGGCTCTCTAATTTTTTGAGACAATCACCTCTAATGACAAATTAGGCTACACATATGCAATGATTATTGTTTATATCAAGTGATAGCTGATTAATAGAGTTCATAAAGAACACACACGTGCATACAGAGTGTTTATTTATTAATAGAAATTTGGAAAAATACTACCTGCGTATTTACTGTTACTCTATTGCCTTTTGTTTTACCTTTTTCTTGCCGATCCATTGATATAGGTCTGGTGTTTTGGATACATATACATTTCATGTTACACATATACATTGCCCTCCGCCAGCTTGGTTGTAAGTTGAAACCATTCAAAGTTTTATTATATTAGCTGATCCATTGGCTCACGTTTTAACTAAACTTGTTTGTTTTCTATTTGGAGGGTACAGAAATGAACCAAATTATGCTGATCCATTGTGTTTGCGGAAACCATCTTGGTTACCAACAAATTCTGTAAGGAAATTCAATCATCGTCTTTTGTTTTGTTGTTTTCATCTTGATTAAGCAGTGTTCAAATCTTATTCGTTCCTACGTATATAAACAGGATAAGCCATTGAATTAAAGAGGCTTAAGACACACACACATTGCTTTTTATCTGTTAACTCTGGCTAAAGTCTCTTTTGTCACTTTATTCCAATATTTCTCTTGCAGATCTATGTAGTTGGATCAGCGTCTGACAAAGGTGTTCATCTATTAGATTTCTATCCAGATCCCAGTTCTCCCAGCCATGTGGACTTCAAGTAAGAAAATTCTAGACCTTTGCTTTGTGACATGACTTTCATTTAGACATTTATTTTTTTATTTTCTTTTTTTGTTTTTTTTTTAATAGTTGGTTGTGTTTTGGATGCTTCTTTCTTTTCCAGCTGCAGGGATGATGTAGAAACTTCATCTGGGGTCAAGAATCAAAATAAGGAAAACTGCTTTGTTCCACTGTCCGAAGCAGTTACCGCATGTGCGGTTCATCCTCTCTATGGTACCATCATAGCTGGAACAAAGGTATACGGGCTAGACAAATATGATTTTCACCCGTTCAATACTTCTCTCTAGTTTTCCAATTTCTTGCTTCTCTCTCCATCATTATCTTTACCCGGCTTCTCTTCCATAATGACCATCACATTTAAAACCAGAGACTTCATTGATAATTTGTCTAATGATAGTTACGTACAATTGGTTTCAGCATTCATCTTTGCTCATGATTTCCCAAAGACGCCAGTCATGTTGAAGTGAAGATTATTACTTGAGCAATGATCAATTGCAGATGCCGGCAAGTCCTACATTCTCGCTATCGTAGATTATTCGGGGTTCCGATCCATCATTTAACTCATGATGGGTTAAACTTCTGTTTGGAATCTACATTCATCAGGTTGGGGTGGTGATAATCACGTTAAAAGTCGGCAATGCAGTTGGGCCGAGTTCTATATATGCCATTGGCTTTACAGAGCACACAAACATGTATACAAAAACTGTAGAAGCTGTTGGCGTTATTTCCATGAAATTAGATTACAGTTGCAACCAAACCAATGAAGAATGTAGAATTTCTTGCTCATTTTATGAATTATAGGCTGTCAGCATTGGAGATAAATTTAAGCTTCTCCAGCTCAGTGCAGAAAGGTGCGTAGAAGGTGACGTCACCTTGTAGTTTGGCCAAGTGCTTCAATTATCTGTCGTTTACCATGTTGAAGCATTGCCTTCAATTTTATTTTATTTTATTATTTTTTTTTTTAAAAGCATTGCCTTCAAATTTTAGTTATGTATTAGAACATGTATGTATAAGTTCACTTTTGAAATGTATTTCCTTCCATTTATTTCTTCGGATTTGCAAATATAAAACTTCCAAAACTACATTTTCCTGCAGAACTTATTTCCTTAATTTGAATTTTATTTCAATTCTTTTAAGGGGCTAGTAAAATAAAAATGATCGCTTACTTCAAAATTTGAACCAACCATATCTGTTATTTGAAGTTACGTATTAACATAAATTGCACACGATTTTTAGAAGAAATTGACATAATAATTAATACATCAATTATTAAATTCAATTCTAATACCATAACTAAAAATAAGTTTTTAAACAAATTAAAAACTCATTTAGTTTGTTAATTTAAATTTTTAATTCGAGTCAAAATATGATTTTATGTGAGAATTTTTTTTATAACAAAAAAATTAAATATGACTATTTTAAAAAAAATTTCACTATTAACTAAACTCGAATCAATAAAATAAATAAAACCTAAACATTAATGTTTGATAAAGGGATTCGTTCCCTAATTCAAATTATGATTCATAATTCACTACAATATTTTTTCTCATAAAAAATTTACGTAAATAAAAAATAGTTCAAATTATATGATTTAAATCTTCCAATTAAACGTCACAAAGCGAATAAATGCCAATGTAGTAGCAGAGATCCTAACAAAAGACAAGTTTCTACTCAAGATTTTCCTACATTGCGAACCAGTTGCGTACCTTGGTTTCTTTATTATTTTTATTTTTATTTTTTTACTCTCTACACGAAAGCATAACTAACCTAAATAATAAAAAATAAAATAAAGCATGCTTTGATGAAATCATTCCAAATCTAAGCACAACTCTCAAGTAATTGGATAAAGTAGAATATTGAGAGATAAAAAAACACAAGACTGAAAAACCAGGAATATAACTTCCCAAAAAGGGAAAAAAAAAAAAGAGAAAATATAATTATCCATTAAATTTACAATGGATTTTACAAACGCTAAAACTGGGAAATAGAAAAATACAAGACTGCAAATTAGCAAAAGATAAAATTTAGATCTAATTTTCATCACACAAAACATCGTCTATAGATTTAGAATTCACCGCTATTAGAACCCCAGAACACAATCCATATAGTGACAATCAGGAATCTAAGCCCTCTCGCCCCTGATCCTACGAGCAAGCTGGATATCCTTGGGCATGATCGTCACTCTCTTGGCGTGGATTGCGCAGAGGTTGGTGTCCTCAAAGAGACCGACCAAGTAAGCCTCGGCAGCCTCCTGAAGAGCGGCGACGGCGCTGCTCTGGAATCGGAGATCAGTCTTGAAGTCCTGTGCGATTTCTCTCACCAGCCTCTGGAATGGAAGTTTCCTGATCAGAAGCTCAGTGCTCTTCTGGTACTTCCTGATCTCTCTAAGAGCCACAGTTCCAGGCCTGAATCGGTGAGGCTTCTTCACTCCTCCGGTCGCCGGAGCCGACTTCCTCGCGGCCTTCGTCGCCAGCTGCTTCCTCGGCGCCTTTCCTCCGGTGGATTTCCGAGCGGTCTGCTTGGTACGAGCCATTTCGAGTGAAAAAATTGAGTGGAAGGTGGAAGTGTTTGGGTTGTTTGTTTCAAGAGAAAATGGGTAGAAGAGACTGGGACCTTGTGATGAGAAAAACCGTTTGGTAGATAAATATGGGATGAGGAGAAGCGGGAAAGAGATAAATTTTCTGCATTGTTTGAAAGGAATTGAGAGGAAGAATTTTGAATCGTTGATGGGCTCTGTTATCGACGCTCCAGATTTCATTAAAGTGAAAGTCACGGATCGCGATCCGTGTATACTGTGAACAACCAATAAGATTAGATTATTTTGGCGGCCGTTTCCGTGATTTCGTCTTTACTTTTGGCGGTCTAATTTCTTTCTTTGTTTTTTCTTTCCTGACCTTTTCGTGTGTTCTGGTATGGGCCTTTGGTTTGGAAATGAGTTTAATGGGCTTTATGGTCCCTGTAAGGACTGGATACCCATCTTGGGCTATGGACAATATAAGCCTGTGAAGATATAATCAACGCCTTATATGTACATCGCTGAGGCTAATCTTGACAAATACGAGTGTATCGGTCGAGATTTATACTATTTATTCTTAATTTATAATTTTTTTAATTAAATAATTATACTAATAAAAAAATAAAGATTTAAACTCATACACTCTTAAAAATAAATTCTTCATTTTTTCTAACTACCTTCTAGAGAAAAGACCTCTAAAAACAGTACATTCAATTCTAGATTTTTATCTTTTATTTTGATTAATTTTTTTAGTCAAATAACTACTACATTAGTCAAAAATATATTTATCAATAAAAATAGATAAAAATCAAAGCCCATACACTTTTGAAAAGGTAAATTCTCATGCACTTTAAAAGTAAATTCAAGAATTCTCATTTTTTTTTTTTTTTATATCTAAGAGAAAATGACCTGGATATAAAACTTTTGAAAACAAAAGAGAGTTTCGGAAATCTAGTCGGAGCTCAAAGTTTGTCGATTTCAAAGGAAATTCCCAACAATGCTACTCTCATATCGCATTAAAATGTTTATGCCCCACCAGGTCTACTCTACAATTTTTGTGGTCTGGTCTCTTGAACAACCATTTGGTGGGCACATGATGAAATAAAAGAAACGACAACAAATGTCCCTCAACTCAAGAGAGAGAGAGGAAACATTTTCAAGCTAAAGATGTGATTTATTTGCTTGCATGAGTTATTGGGTGTTTTAACCGTAATGTCTGTTTTACCTTGTTAGATCTGACTAAAATTACATTAAAATAGAAAAATATGCGAAATAAATAATTTTTAATCAAAATTTCACGGTCAAAAACAAAAATTACCGGTCCTCCATTTTTTTGAAGGCTGACCATAGAAATCTCCCAAGTTATTACTATTCATTCCTCTTCTTTTTTCTTTATTATTTCCCCCCGCTATTGTTACTATTCCTGTTGGTAAAAGAGTTCACCATGAGGCAGTCAACATAGCTAATTAGCTACAGAGAAAAATGTGCATACCAGAAGAAAGGGCCTTCCTTGGAGTTGGTCCGGAAGAGGACAATTAACAAACCTATGCCGACCTTATGGAAGCACACTTTTCTGATATGTCTTCTAACCTAATCCACAAACGTGCTTTATAACCATAAACATTTTCACGCGTCAAAATATTATGTGCTACCTACGATGTGACTTGTTCATCAAATCTAACACGTCTTTCATTTTCCTTAAAGAGATTGTCGCCGTATTTAGAATTGATTCCGTTTTTATTTTTTATATTTTTTGAGAAAAAAATAAAAACGTTTTTAAAACGGTGTTTGACGCAATAAAAATAAAAAATAAAAATAAAAATGACTTTTTAGTTTAGTGTAAAATAAGAGATGAATGAAAAATGACTTTAAGTCATTTTTTATTTTTTATTTTTATTTTCTCCTCTCTCGAGCAGAAAGAGAGATAGACATTAATGAGTTTTTTTATACTGAAAATAATCCCCTAATAAAGATACCAAACGCATTTTTAAAAATGATTTTTATCTGAGATTAAAAACGTTTTCATTTTCATTTTCATATAAAAAATAAAATTATTTTGAAACGAGTTTTAAACGCACTCTGTATATACGTAAAATGACATGTATAATATTCCTCATAAAGACGTGTATATTTGTCGGAATTATATGCTTGTAAATACTAGACGTAATTGTACGTATTTGTCATTGTCACGTGACTCTATCCATGACATAGGATTCCTAATTTGTTAATAACTAATCCTTATGAAAATGACTTTAAAAGCATTTCATTATTTGGTAAAGATAGGGCCGACGTAGATCACACGTGAGGATAAGATGGATTGATTCAAGTCTTTAATTTGGTTTTTCTTGGTAGTCTATACTCTATAGTCTCTATAGTTTCATTGTGTCTCCAATTCTTTCTTTTTTTTTTTCTTTTTTTTTTTTCCTTTTCCGCTCGAGAACTCATAAGAGTACAATCAGTAAATCTCATTAGTCAAAAGTTCAAGAGTTTTTCTAATAATACTTAGGGCCCGTTTAGTTCGCTGATTCGAGTTGAGATGTGATTTTATGTGATAGCTTTTTACTGTAGCAAAAAAGTTAGATGTGATTGTTTGTGAGAGCTTTTTACTGTAGCAAAACTTGAATTAGCGAAGCGAACTAAACAGGGCCTTAGAATGTTCTAGGGCTTGCTCGTTTATATTTTTGAGTTATGGTGATTTAAATATAAATTTTCAGTTGAATTTAAGTTATAACTTGAGTTTTTGTTTAGTTGTGTACATTTAAATTATGATTTGATATCAGAATCTTTTTGAGTTTGTGTTTTGGTAGGTTAAAACTTAAATTTATATTTGGATAGTATTTTAATAAAAATTCAATGGTGATGGAAAATTTTAATAGGGTATATAGGTGAGGTTTTATTCGTCTCTTTGTTGTGAACACATAGAAAAAAAAAATCATCTCAATCAAAATTAAAATGAAAAAGTTATTACATTTTTAAGAATAGAAAAAATATTGTTCATTAACTTGAGTTTGAATTTAAGAAGTTGAGTTGAAGGAAAAATTTGAACTCAAATTTTAGCCCCAAATTCAAGTTCAAATTCAAATTTTACAAAAGAATATGAACTTAAATAAAATTATAACTTAAATTTTAATTTTTTTTTGAGTTTAGATGCAAAAGAAAAAACCCGTAGTTTATTTCTCGTTTTAAAGCAGTACTCGCCACTAAGCTACACTTGTATGAGCTTTTATCTTTCCTTCAAGCCATTATTAAGCTCTCCCAAAGTTTAGAAGCAATTTCTTAACTTTTGGCCGATTCCTAAGGATTGTTCTTTTGGAGTGTAACTTGAGTGTAGTTTTTGAGTTATAACTTGAGTTGAAGTTGTAACTTGAATAAAGTTGAGTGAAGTTTAATAAAGTTAAAATTTAAAAGAACGTGAACTTGAATAAAATTGAAACTTGAGTTGTCTTTTTTATGAGTTTTTTTGACAAAAAAAACTACGTTGCTGTTGTTTCACAATTATCTAAAGTACCAAATTAAACAGTTATAGCGGCACACTCAATATAAAATATGATCTACGATAAGGGTAGTTAGCTACTATATTGTCGATATTTGAGGAATGGGACTTTTTCTCGGTTAACCAAAGAACCATAAGGAATCCACCTTTACTTGGATCAAACAAAACAAAACATGACAAAATGAAAACGTTACGTACGAGGAGGCCGTCAGAAATACCTTTATCTTTACACTTTTTTTTTTTTTTTTTAATCTTTGGCAAACAACACGGAATATGGAATCCGGTATTTATTGTGTGTCGTGAGTTTTGTCCCACAAAGTTGAAATGGGGTCAGAGAGTGGTCGTCTCGTGGACTTGTGCTTTGTGATGCTCATCACTTCACTAAACAAAAAGAGTATTAATTGCTCTTCATCTTCCTCTTTTTTTTTGTTTTTTAATTTATTTTTATTTTGCATTATTTATTTATCATTTTTCCTGTTACTTTCTTGCAAGGTACAGAGAAAGAGACATCAAATGAAATCACCTCTCCTGTTACTTTCATACAAGGCTGTGAGTGAAAATGAAAGGGTACTGCATACTCACAAGCATAAAAGCTGCAATTATGTTTTTTTTTTTTTTTTTTTTTTTCTTCTTTTCTTTTTAAGAGAGAACAAGCAGATTAATAATAGAAGTGTAATTAGTCATTGCATAATATGGAAGCAAACATATTATTCTTTTAAATTGGTTATTGGTTAGCTCAGAGAATAAAACGTTTCTCGAAAAAAAAGGAGAGGAGAGAAAAACAAATATCTTTACAGTATAAATACTTGCACTATTATACAATTAGTGATCCCCGTATGTCCAAATTATATCATATCAAAGTACTGGCATTTTTGTCGCTTACTTTGGTACGAAATTCTAATTCAGATTCTCTTCCTCCACCTCAAAACTTTTAAAATAAGCACTACAGTACCGTTTATAGAAAAAGCTCATTCTGTATTTCAAAATTATCAAGCTTTAATAATACGCGATTTTGAGTGACAAAATTCTTGTGTACAACTAATACAGACAATAGAAACAACAATATTGCCGTGTTGCAAGAAATCGTTTTTGTTTTGAATAACTAATCAAGTTTTGATCTTATAACAACAACCATGCTGACCCTAAGTCCTCTATTAGGTGCCAAATTTGTTTTCCCTATCTTTTTTACCCCCCAACTTTGATTCACCAATCAAAGAGTCAAAGACAAGTTAATCCTTAAAGGGTTTGAATCATAATTGAAAAAGTCCTTGTCCTATAAAGGCCTCATTCCTTAGTTGTTACAGCTACTTAATTTCTTACTGGTCCACAATTACTTTTTGGAGAAGCTTAAGACATATAATACTGTTTTTGCGTGTTTGATGGCAAACCTAATTTGAAGTTTTTTTTTTTTTTTTTTTTTTTTTTTTTTTTTTTTGAGGTTTCATGAAGCTTTGAGACGCCACTGGTCATTAATCTAATGGCAATCCTGCAATGGGATTTTCATTAAACAAAGGAAAAGAGTCACTTTTTTGCATGTGGAGGTTGACAAACTTTACTACCTTTTTTGGAGGGTGGTTGGGGTTAGAAAGCTAATTTGATGGAAGATATTGACCTTTTTTCCTAACAAAAGCAGTTGTGGTCTCGTAGAAAAGAAAACAGCGAACTTCAATATTATACATTTCCCAAATCCTATATGGAATTCCATTTCCGATACAATATACATTACACAACACTGGTTGTGTTTTCAAAAATGCCCCTAGAAACACTCACCTTGTTTGCTATAGCACTAAACACAGAAGGTGATGTTCCATTTTGTGGGGAAATAAACATGGAAATTTGCGGGCACTATTCAATTAAGGAGTAATCAATCAAAGTAGGAGACTCATTTGGTCCCCACTTGAGCACCAACATGTTCCAATTTCCCAAGCTTTTGCAAGATTCACAGATTAGAGAAAGGGGAAGGATAATTGGATACTTGGAAGGTTTTGGATATTTTCTGGACCCCACAATACGCCCTTTCGGCAACAAAAACTAAACTTGTACAGCTCAGAGTTTATTCCATGGACAAAATTATCCCTTTCTTCTGCTCTATTATTTTAATGCACTAGTTTTTACCTTCTTCTTCTTTCTTTTCTTTCTTTTTTATTTTTTATTTTTTATTTTTTTGCACGAGTATAGCTTGAGATTTCTATAAGTATTATGAGTTTTCAAGTTTTTTTTTTTTTTTTTTTTTTTTAAATAATAGAATTTAGCATAAACATTACAAAAATATCACGTGTGTCATGCAATCGTGAAGAAGCAGATGTTACCATTTTTTGGCAAATTAGCGCAAAGAGTTTTCCTTGGGGTCACAATGAACTTTATGAAATAGCTTTAATGAGGGCGTACTTATGAGACATTGTGCATATATATACTCCAAGGTTATAGACATTTCAAATATTCTTTTGTGAAAAAGAACCCTTCCATTTACAAGCAAAGTTTGAGAAAAGTTCAAAGGAAAAGCCTAACCTTTTTCTCTTTCAATGTTGTTGTACTTTTCTAACACGTTGAAAGGAACATCTTAAATAATAACATTCACTTTACAAACTTGAGCTTTTACTTATAACTTCAACTCCTCTCATGGATTTAACTTAGCTAAGGAAAAAAAAAAAAAGAAAAAAAAAAGATCAAAAAGCCCCCAACATTTTAGAGGGATTATCAACCGTTATGATTACTTGAGGTGTTCTTTTACTATTGAAGCAATAATGTTGGCGTTACCACCGCTTGAAACTAGTAGTAATATATAGTAGTGGAATATCTTATAATAGGTATACTCTTGCTTGCAATCATATCAATAGTGGTACCACCACCACTTCTCTAATTCTCTTCTCTTCACGCATGGTTCAAAACCATGGGCATTTTAGTAAAATCACACCTTGATAAATACTGCCAATATATAATTCATTCCTGCCTACTCGGAGTAAAAACCACTCTCTCTTCTCTCTGCTTCACATGCCCTCTCATTTCATCAAATTCCATTCAGAACAAAGACAAAAGCTCATTGGCTTTCAATTTGATTTACCTCCACAACTTCTTCAACTCTCTCTCCAAATTTTCTGGCTGTCCAAGATTCCACAATAGATATGGGTCTGCAAACCAAATCCAACCAATGGATAATACACAAACGTTAATTCCTTCTGTTTTCTAGTTTTGTTATCCTGTTTTTCATTTTGTTTCATTTCTGGGCATTATTTTTACAATTACATGCTTCTGCTCTGTTCCTTCTGTCCATGGCTAGTGTGACAACTGACACAAGGTTCTTCCAAGACCATAACAATAATAACAACAAAAATAACTGCAATGAAGTTAACAGGCAAGAGATTCAAGCAGCCATTGCCAAGGCGGTGGAGCTGAGAGCTCTCCACGCAGCTCTCATGCAAGGAAACAGCCCTTCCAATCTCAGGTTTCCTTCTTCTTCGCCAGCTAATTCCCTTCCTGCTTCTCACTTCTCTGCCCAAGATTACCCTGTTTTTACCCCTGTAAGTACACCTTTTTTTTCTTCATTTTTTCTAAGATTAAATTTTGCTGTAATTTTAATATATATATATATTTTGTTTTTGTTTTTCTGATGTGGGTTTCGGTTATTAGTTGAACCCCATTTTGCTGTAGAGCTTCTGGTGCATTGTAAATTGATAAAAATCCAAAAAATAAAAGATAAAAATCATTATTCAGCGTTATATTAATCTCTCTGTTTTCAATTACTTGTTTTAAAAGCATTTTAAAGGATTTTCCAGAGTTGGGTATCATGTAATGCACCAAAAAGAAGGAAAAAAAAGTTTAATTGGAAAGTTAACCAAGTCAGAATTATCTTCTATTTTGGTATTGTGTGGATAATTGATAATGTTGGAATTTTTGTAGTGGGGTAGCTTGCAATGCATAAAGCAATGAACTTTCCATCTTATTTATCAAAAAGTTTTGAACTTTATTCTTCTAAAGTAAAAAGGGAAAAACTTTTTTGCAGAGTTATGAAGATGAACCACTTGCGTACCATCAAAATTCAACGAGAAGTCGAACATTGTCGGAAATATGGGACGAGTATGGCCTAGGAGGAACTGGGGATGACACAGTTTCGTCATCAGATTACAAAAAGGAGAATTCATCTTCAAGAAAAGGAGGAGGATTATTGACTTCTGATATGGCCAATTTAGAGTCCCACATTTGCCCTTCTGTGGATCACAAATCTGTCACAGGCTCTTCTACAAACCCCATCACTGTGCTTCAAACCTCCCCCACCAATGACTACTTCAAGTCAAGAAGGAGAAACAGTTTGGGCGATTTCAAATCGGTCTCATCTTGCAATAGATGCAAGCCTGCAACCATAACCTCAGAATCCGAATCCGGAGCCAGGAACAGGAGGACTTCCAACCTCGTGGTGCCGTTGACAGACTCTCACTCGTCACTCAATTCGCAGCCCAAGAATCGTGGTGTCATTTCTTGGTTGTTTCCGCGGTTGAAGAAGAAGCACAAACATGAGAATTCTCCGAACAGGACGGATTCTGAAGAGGTCTCGCAGGTTTTGAGGTACTCGGGGATTATGATGATTGAGGCATTGAAGAAGGAGCTCATGGAAGCACACGAGAATAAAGATGCGGCCTTAATGGAGGTCACCGAGATGAAGTCTTCGCTTGGGGAGCTGAGACAGAAACTTGAGTGCTTGGAGACTTACTGTGAAGAGCTGAAGAAAGCTTTGAGACAAGCAACACAAGGGAAGAACAACTCGCTGCCTCCTGAAAAGCTCGGAAGCTTTCCGAAAGGAGGGAAATCTGTTGAAGGTAATGGAGAAAATTTGATGCCGGTTAGTGAGGAAGTAATGGTGGAAGGCTTCTTGCAGATAGTATCAGAAGCGAGGCTATCAGTTAAACAATTCTGCAAGACCCTTGTAGGGCAGATTGAAGAGAGTGATAATATGCTTGTGGATAATCTCAACTTGCTTCTTCAACCACATAAGCTCTCTCTTAATTCGAAGTATTCGAAGGCGGTTTTGTACCATTTAGAGGCCATCATAAACCAGTCATTGTATCAAGACTTTGAGAACTGCGTGTTTCAGAAGAATGGCTCACCAAAGATTCTAGACCCCCAACAAGATCGGCAAGCTCAGTTCACCTCATTCGTCGCTCTAAGAAACTTGAGTTGGAATGAAGTTTTGAGGAAAGGAACAAAGTATTACAGCGAAGAATTCAGCAAGTTTTGTGACCAGAAAATGAGTCACATCATTTCAACACTTAATTGGACTAGACCATGGTCAGAACAGCTCCTTCAAGGATTCTTTGTCACGGCGAAATGCATTTGGTTGCTTCACTTGCTTGCGTTTTCGTTCAACCCCCCGCTGGGAATCCTGAGGGTGGAAGAGAATAGGAGCTTTGATGCACATTACATGGAAGACATGTTCATGGAAAGACAGAGATCAAATGGTCCGAGCCGTGTCAAGATCATGGTTATGCCGGGTTTTTATGTTCAAGACCGGGTTTTGAGGTGTAAGGTTCTTTGCAGGTATAATAAGTCTGTAACTTGAAAAGAGAATTTGAAAATCAGCCATTGGTTTTTAGAAGTCACCTTCGATCATTAAAAAAAAAAAATGTAGCTCTCTAAGTGTTTATACGTTAATTAAATGCGATATCTTATTGAAAATGTGTAGACAAGTGTTAAAAGAGAGTCATCGCTCACTGCTCTATAACTTTTGTGTGTCGTGAAATTCTTACCAATTAGCAAGAAAAGGTGAAGTTGGAAGTTTTTGTGAAGAAATGTTCTTTACTGTTATGAAGTTTCTTTCATTCATAAAATTTTACAATTTGAATTCAGAAGTTTCCTTTTTTGTCTTGGTTTGATTCGTTTGCTTTCAATCCGTTCATAACTTATCTTTACATCAGTTTCTTTTTAGCCTTTTCCCTCTAGTGGTCTTTTTAACCCTTTTTTTTTTCTTCACCCTTTTGCTACTAAGCTGAGAAATATCTTTTATAACCGATATCTACGAAAGAATATACATGAGAGATATATTTGGAGAAAAAGATTCGCGGGAGTAACCTTACTGTTACTGGCAAGAGAGAGATTGGGGCTCCAGACATCAAAGGTCAAAGTTGGTGTCGTCGTTTTTTTCGCGTAATTTTGTCTTCTTCAGTCGTTTGTAGTTACTAAATTGTGTTGTCGTAGTTTCTTGTCGTTTTTAAGATGCTGTCGTTTTTTTAGTTGACGTCCTTTAACAATTTGTTTTCCTTTCTAAGGTTATCGTCCTTTCTCATGTGGTTGTGTTTTTACTGTCCTTTGTCACGCTGCATTCATTTGTAATCTTATGGTCGTTTGACGTTTCACTGTCGTTTTTGAGGTTGTTGTCGTTTGTCATGTTCTTGTTATTATACTGTCGTTTATCAGGTTGTTCACGTTTTACATTTCATTGTCGTTTTCAGGTTATTGTCGCTTATAAGTTGTCGTCGTTTTTCAGGTCATAGTTGTTTTTCTGTTCATTGTCGTTTTCAGGTCATTGTCTTTACATTCCAAAGCTTGTGAGAATTGCAAAGCTAGTTGCTGAAATGTTAATTTCTTAGAAAGCTACTTTTGTTTATTTCAATCAAGCACCAGAGAAAAAAAAAAATATATTGTCAGCAATTTACAAAATTAACATCATATATAGCAATGAATCCTACTGATTAACTCTAGATCTCATTTCTGGCACTTTTCTTCAGAACTCTCATCAATAACATGTTTATTTATAGTTGCAATTTCTATTAGCTGCAATCCACCATAGCGTTTGAACGTGGATCAACTACTAATTATTGTCTTCGGCCAACAAAGAAAAACATGAAACCACCCAAAAAAAAATTTGTTTATTCAATTACTGGTCTGTCTCTCTTCAGCAAAAGCAGCATCCAAGAAATCGTACATGGCTTTGACAGAAGATCCCTTGAAACCATTCTCATCTTTCATAGCATTCCTCATGATGTTTCCGACCTCACAGACCTTCCTTCTGATTTCACTTCCCTTCTCTGATCCAACATTCATCACCAACTCAATCTTTTTGACCATTTCTTCATGTCCAACTATAGAGCTCCTTCCTCTCGCAAACACCACACACACTCCTAACACTTCTTCCAAAAACTTGGCATTAAAAAACTGATCTCCCCCCAGCGGCCATCCAATTATTGGCACGCTATGAGTAAGCGCTTCAATAATTGAACTCCAACCACAGTGACTCAAAAAAGCAGACACAGCTTCATGACTCAAAATGTCAACCTGTGGTGCCCATTTATGCACAATCAACCCTCTTTCTGACTCTCTAATTCTGTCCTCAAATCCCTTAGGCAGCCACTCCTCGGCTCTGAACTCCCCATTTATGTCAAACCCAATCGGCGGCCTAACAACCCATATGAAATTCTTGCCACTAGACTCAAGAACCATGGCTAAATCCATCATTTGTGATGGTGATATGGTGCTCTGTGACCCAAACGACACAAAAAGTACTGATCTTGCAGGTTTTGAGTCGAGCCATTTGGTGCACATCTCTGACGTATTTCCGCCCTCTTTCCTCGCAACAGCCGGCAAAATGAAAGGCCCAATGGGCCAAACCGGCCGGCCCAATTTCCGCCTGAAATAGAGTAACCCAGTGTTGGCTTCAAGCTCTTCCACAGTGTTGAACAGCATGGCGCCAGCATTTTTCCATTGGGACACCATTTTCTGTACAGCCACTGAGAACTTATTATCACCTTCAACTGCATCCCGTAAATCGTCTGACATCTCGCTGACGTGGATTCTCGAAGCTTCTGGAAAGTCCGGGACCATGATGGTCTCGTTCGTAACGTTCTTGAGGTGAGGCAGGTTCAGCCAGAGGGAGTGAACGCATGCGTAGCCAAAGGCGCCGCCGGTGCAGAAGATGGCATGGAAGACGTCGAACTCGCGGGCGATCTCGTGGGACCATCCGAAGCACATGTCGGCGATGATGCAGAGCGGTCGGGGCGAGAGGTCGGAGATGAGGTCTCTGAAGGGGGGTTGGAGAGAGAAAGAGGCTTCCATGAAGTTGGAGAGGAGATGGGAGGGAAGGATGTCGGTGTTCTCTATGCCGGGAGGGACGCCATAGCTGGATCCGCAAAAGGGGATTGTGAGAAGGCGAATATTGTTGTTATTGTTTGGAGGGAGATATGATGAGAATTTGGGGATGTTGAGTTTGGTTGTGACAAAGGTTATGGTGCAATTGTGTGTTTGTTGGAGTTGATTGGCCAGTTCTATGAAGGGAATTATGTGGCCTCGTGCCATGAAAGGGAATAGCACTATGTTGTTTCTTGAGCTTTCTCTCTTGTAATCCATTGTGAAGAAGCTTGGCTTAAGCGAGGGAAAGGCTTTCTTCAACCATGCGCAGGGGGTCTTTTCTATAGCCTCAAAGTGTCCCTAGATTGCTGCCACTTGGAGTAATCTGGAGCTTCTCCTTAACTTGGATAGCAAGTAGAAAACGTCAATTTAATTTGGCGGCTTCAACCATGCGCAGGGGGTCTTATCTATGGCGTCAAAGGGTCCCTAGATTGCTGCCACTTGGAGTAATCTGGAGCTTCTACGAAGCATCGATAGCAAGTAGAATAGGGTCTGTTTAGTTCCAATTTTTAATTGATAATATAGAGTCTGTTTAGTTATAGGATGTGTTTAGTTTCAATTTTTAATTTGAGATGAGATTTTTATAAAAGAGTTTTTTTATTATAGTAAAGAAAAAAAATTTTATTATTTAGAAGAATTTTTTCCGCCATTTAGTCAGACATAACAAGTTCTTCCTCTTCTTCCTTTTTTTTTTTTTTTTTTTTTTTTTTTTTTTTTTTGCAGTCATTCAGTCGGTTTTTCTAAACAGCAAGCATAGTTTGGCATTTTGTTCAGATGCCTATAGGTGTTCGTACGTGATTGACCAACGGAAAAACGAAAAAAGTTGACCATGAATGGTCTAAAATTAATTAATAGTGTGTTTAGTTCAAAGATTCGTATTATGATTCAAATTATAATTCGTAGTTTGTTATAGTATTTTTTTTTACAAAAAATACACGTAAAACACACATATTTACTAGAACGTTCACCCACGCAAAAATTTAAATTTAATTTTTTTTTACTACAATTTTTTTTTTCATAAAGATTTACTTTTTAACTCAAATTCTCAATTCGAACGAGTAAAACGAACATAATCTCAGTATAGTTAGCTCGTTGATTGCCGAGGAGCTTTTTTTTTTTTTTTTTAATGTAAAAATTAATGAAGAGGAGCATTTGATGTTATGGTCGTTCATAATGTTCTTGTTCTTATGCTGTCGTTTATGAGATTATTGTCGTTTTCGGGTGATTGTGGCTTACAATGTTGGTGTCACTATTAAGCTGTAGTTGTTTTTATGTTCATGGTCATTTTCACGTCATGGTTTTTACATGCGAACTTGCAAGTTGCAAAGCTAGTAGCTGCAATGTTTAAATTAAATTAATAAGAAATCTAATTTTGCTTATTTCATTCAAGCACCAGACAAAAAAGAAGCTTGGACAAAGTGAGGGAAACAGGTTAGTGTGGAGACGATGAGAGAAGTGGTGTTTTGGATATTTGAGAGAAGATAACCAATTTAATTTCCCTTTTCAATGATTAAAATTTAGTGTTTGGTCTTCCCTTGCACAAAAGTTTCAAGTGCTCGTTGCAAGCGACTCTCTAGATTATTCAAAACTCTTGATTCTGTGGCGCATAAGACTAGAACTTGAAAAACTAACAGCTGACATTAATAATAATGCTTGTATTAACATAATTCAAGGACCTGATTAAAAAAAAAAAAAACTCATTATCGAAACTTGAATTACTCATGATATCTGCTTATATTTGGTGCATTCTAAAAGCAAGGGTAAAGCTTAGCTTTCTGGTAGTGTTGTTACATATTTTTCTCGACTGAATCTAATATATGTTGCTTGTTTATCTTTTTATGGTTTTGCTTGGATTTCATTTGTATAATTTGATAATTTTGTGCTTTTTGTTGATTTTGGAATGTTAATCTGTAGGTTTAAATTTCTTTTGACTTTAATTTTTTATTTTTACAATGGTTTAAATTAAGTTGGTTTCTGCTTAATCGGAAGGTTAAAAGAGGGGTATTGATGCTACTATAAAGTCAACAACACCTCACATGTTCTGCAAGAAACTTACTATTGGAGTTTTGTTTTTAGTTTGTGAAATAAATTTTTAGTAATATGTTGTTTTCAATAGAGAATGTGTGTAATTTGTAAGATTAATTTGATTTTTTTTCAAATATTTGATTATAATTAAATAATATGATGTTTGATGTTGGTTTTAAGATAAATAATCTGTCTGACAATGGTTCATAGTCTAATGGATTGTGGATCATAGTCTGAAAGACTATGGCTGGTGTTGGCAATCGGAGATTGGCAGGCGGCATAACTTGTCAAATTATGAGAGATTGTGGGTGTAATGACCGAGAAAATCATAGAATTAAATAATATAAATTTATTTATTTAAGTCAATGATTTTTCTCAGTAATATACTGTCATATTTTGTGACTGAATGATTTATGAAATTAATATTAATATTCTTAAATTCTATAGTAAGTTTTATGATTATTTCATATTTAAAGAACCAATAAATTCAGTTGATAAATTCTTACCGTAACTAAGGTGGAAGAATTCTCAGTGCATAGAACAGTTTGAGAATCCTAATTCCAGGAATCTCTTAGTGCAGTATAATGTTAGCAACGTATAGAGAAACGCTCTGACATTTAATGAGAAAATCCTTAATTCCCAAACAGATAAGAGGGAATTAAAGGGGTAGTGTTTTAGTACAAAAATTTAGATGCAATATGAGTTCAAAAGTCGACAAAGTCGGGAACTGAAATTTCCTGTCAACTAAGTAAATTCTCAAAAGTTAGTAGGAAGTAATAAGAATAGCTATAAGAATAGAACATTAAGGGGTGATTATCAAGTGTTCACTAAACCTTGCTTATATAAGCAAGATGACATCAAGTAAGCAATTAGAAATTTAAATTATGTAAGATATCGTTACCGACTTTCAGTCGGCAATAAGGAAAGATGTGCATAATACTGTGTTAAATCCACAAGTAGGTCAACACATGTATCTTAAGGTTAAGAAGTGAAAAAGAATTGAAAAACATCAATTCTAGAGTTTTAGAAATAATCGGAACGAAAAATGGACGAAAAAGGGGTTCAGAAGGCCGCATCGCATAAATTGGGGCTTCAACTGATTCAAGTGGACCGAGTTAAAGTTTGTTGACCAAGAGTTGACCAAAACGTCGCCCTCGAAAAGTTAGTCAAGAATGGTCAAAGTTGACAAACTGTTTGAAAAACGCGCACTAGACGAAAAATTAAGCTGAATTAAAATATGATAATTATTAAATAATCAATGGTTGAGATTTAAAGTAACTTTTTAGATGAAGGGCTGAGATCATGCCACTTTCTTAGTGAGGTGGCCGGCCAAGCTTGTACAAGAAGCCAAGAAATGAGATATTTTGGTGAAATTTTGCAAAATAGTCCCTCAAAAGTGCCAAATTTGCATTTTAGTCCTTCTACTTTATTAAGTCCGGTTTTTAAGAGATAAAGATATCCCCAAATGTTCATTTTTCATGTCAAGAACCGTGAGAGTCCAGCCAAGAGAGAGAAGAAGAAAAAAATTACCAAAAGTAAAGAAAAACAAGTTCTAAGCGGGAATCGATCGAACTACCGAGGATTGATGATTCTAGAGTTTGTTCTTCATTCTTCTAAGGTGAGATTTCAGTTTTCCTTTCCTTTTTCTTACCTTGGCCAAATGATGTGGATGTGGTAGCGAGTATGGAGAAAGTTTGCTAAGTTGATGATTTAATTTCAATTGATAAACGAATTGAAAGCTTAGTGATTAAAGGTTGAATTTTAGTTGTTAGATTATGTTTCTAGCAACTTTTGGATATGAGAATCTTTGTGAGAAATTGGATGGAACCCTAGAGTATGGTCCCTAAATTGATTAAATTGTGTGAGAGAGATCGTTAGCTATGTTTAGAAGATAAAGTAATGGATAAATCGAGCAAAAATTAGCTCAGGAAACGTAGAAAAATAAGACGAAATTCTGTCGAAATTTAGTTTGGGAATTTGAGGATTAAACCTAGTTTTGGTTCTTGAATTTGAGGCTAAACTTGGTTTTGATTCTAAGTAGAAGCTTTGAATTATTTTCTATAGCATTTTAAAAAGAATGCTACAGCATTCCTATAGCATTTTAAAAAGAATGTTACAGCATTCCTACAACATTTATAAAAAAAAAAACTGCAGCATTCTAGGTAACATTTCAAAAAAAAAAAATCTCTTAGATTTTTGGAAGTTTCAGAAGTTATAGGTTAAAAGTTAGTAACAGTGATGGCCAAATGAGCAGGGTCGTCACAGTGGGTCATAGTCTGACAAACTATGGCTAACGCGGACAACCAGAGTCCAGCTACTGACATAACCTGTCAGACTATGAGTCATAGTCTGATAAACTATGGGTCATAGTCTGGCAAACTATGACCGGCTGGGGGCTGGAGACCCGCCAGTCAATATAAGTTGATAGACTATGAGTCATAGCATGGCAGACTATGGATTATAATTTGGCAGACTAGTGCCAGCCGGCGACTGGAGACTCACCGTCGGTTGGCCGCTGGAGCCCGCCTCCGGTCGGCAATCGGCGGTAGCCAACATTTTATAAATTAACAATTTACTTTGATGATATTTTGGTAATCTATATATTGGACATTTGACTAATATTTGACTAGCTCTAGTTTAAAAGGGTAGAAATAAAAAAAGGTAATGTTTGGGGATTAATAATAATTTATTGTACTATTTTGAAGGGTAATTATAAAAATCTCTAAAAAAATAAAAAATAAAAAAAACTTAACGATTAAAGTGAGATTGATAACAAAATTAAAAATACCATTTCTAGACTCACTTTTCTTTTTAATTGTAAAGACATAAAAAAGTCCCAATAGAACAGCTGTCCTTCAACTTGTCCTGTTTTACCTTCACAGTTCGCCTAAACAAGTTATGCATGATAGTGGTCGAATAATTAAAAGTTTTTTTATCGGCCTTACGTTTAGGGTTCATTAAATAAGAACCACGAATTCTTTCTCATTATAGTTAGTTACAAAAGTAGAAAACATGTCTATATTTATATATATTTTAAAAGAAAATACATGTTATATCTCTTAAATAATAAATAAAAATTATAAATAATATCCAACCAGCACCTCTGTCCAAAATGTCCCCAATGAAAGCATAAATACACACATACATAATGTATATTTTATTCATCAGTGATCGTGACGATAAGAACAATACAAATTGTAAGTCCCATATATAGATCTTTTTGTTTTTTGTTTTTACTGTATTAAATTTTATTTTTCTTTGTCAAAATAATGAAACCTAAAAGCAATATCACTATTTTATTGAGAGAAGGTAAGGATTTTAATTCCTTTTCGATGATTAGAGTTGGATCCCCTCCCTTGCACAAGTTTCAAGTACTGATCACTGCAAGCGACTCGTTCGTTTGGATTAGCTAGATCCTAGATGTATAAAAACTCTTGGAGCCACTCGCAAGGCAACAACTAATTGCAAGATTCTTCAAAGTTCTTGACGATTAATGCTTGTACTACAGATTTCAGGCATCTGGTAAATGGGAAAAATAAACTTAAACGTTAATTTTATCTGGAAGAAGCTTCTTAAAACATTTAAAAACTAACTAATTACTCATTAGCAAAATAATAACAATAATTAACGAAGTACTGATGTTTTATCTGTATGAAGGTCATTAAGAACATGAAACTAATGTATAATCATTCTGTATATTGGCAATGACACTAAAACAAGCAATAGATTACCATTTTGTATATATATATATATATATATTGGCAATGATGCTGAAACTAATTACTCGTTGTCAATCATCCTCGAAGTACTCATGATATATGTCTCTCTCTTCAGCAAAGCAGCATTCAAAAATTCGTCCATTGCCTTGATAGAAGACCCCTTGCAACCATTCTCATCTCTCAGGGCATCCCTCATGATGTCCCCGACCTCACAAACCTTCCTTCTGATTTCATTTCCTTTCTCTGATCCAACTTTCATCACCAACTCAATCTTTTTGACCATTTCTTCATGTCCAACTCTAGAGCTCTTTCCTCTAGCAACCTCCACACAAACTCCCAACTCTTCTTCTAAAAACTTGGCGTTATAAAACTGATCCGCTGCAAGCGGCCATCCAATTATTGGCACGCCATGAGTAAGCGCTTCAATAACTGAATTCCAACCACAGTGACTCAAAAAAGCAGACACAGCTTCATGACTCAAAATGTCAACCTGTGGTGCCCATTTATGCACAATCAATCCTCTTTCTGACTCTCTAATTCTGTCCTCAAATCCCTTAGGCAGCCACTCCTCAGCTCGAAACTCCCCATTTATGTCATACCCGATTGGCGGCCTGACAACCCATATGAAATTCTTGCCACTAGACTCGAGAGCCATCGCTAATTCCATCATTTGTGATGTTGATATGGTGTTCATTGACCCAAACGACACATAAAGTACTGACCATGCAGGTTTTGAGTCGAGCCATTTGATGCACATCTCTGACGTAAACGTAATAATTGCACCTTCTTTTCTAGCAAGAACCGGCAAAACGACAGGGCCAATGGGCCAAGCCGGTCGGCCCAATTTCCTCCTAAAGTACAACAACCCAGTCTTGGCTTCAAGCTCTTCCACAGTGTTGAACAACATGGCGTCCGCATTTTCCCATAAGGACAACAGTTTCTGTATAACCGCTGTGAACTTATCTCCATTTGCATCCCGTAAATTCTCCGACATCTGCGTGACGTGGATTCTCGAAGCTTCTGGAAAGTCCGGGACCGTGATGGTCTCGTTCGTGACGTTCTTGAGGTGAGGCAGGTTCAGCCAGAGGGAGTGAAAGCACGCGAAGCCAAAGGCGCCGCCGCCGCAAAAGAGGGCGTGGAAGACGCCGAACTCGCGGGCGATCTCGTGGGACCATCCGAAGAACATGTCGGCGATTATGCAGAGCGGTCGGGGCGAGAGGTCGGAGATGAGTTTTCTGAAGGAGGGTTTGAGTGAGAAGGAGGCTTGGAAGAAGTTGGGAAGGAGATGGTAGGGAAGGACGTCGGTGTTCTCCACGCCGGGAGGGAGGCCATGGCCGGAGCCGCAAAAGGGGATTGTGAGAAGATGAATACTGCTGTTTGGAGGAAGAGATGATGAGATTTTGGGGATGTTGAGTTTGGTTGTGACAAAGGTTATGGTGCAATTGTGTTTTTTCTGGAGTTGATTGGCCAAGGCTATGAAGGGAATTATGTGGCCTTGTGCCATGAAAGGGAATAGCACTACGTTTCTTGAGTTCTCTGTCTCAGAAACCATTGTGAAGCTTGCGCTAAGTGAGGGAAAAGGTTAGTGCGGACGCGATGAGAGAACTTCTTGTTGATGTTTATAAGATAAAGAAAGGAAGAATATTGTTCAACCGAACGAGATTAATAGGCTTGTCTAACAATAAATGAGCCCCGCCGATTAATCATGCATAACAAGCTTTTTCCTCTCCTTTTTTTTTTTTCCCTTCCTTTTCCTTTTTTCTTCCGGTCATTCAGTCGGTTTTTCTTACAGCTAGCATAGTTTGGCATTTTGTTGACGTGATTGGCCAAGGGAAAGAAGAAAAAAAAGTTGGCCGATTAATGTCAAATTTTAATAGCATCGTTTTTTTTTTTTCTTTGGGAAGAGAAAGAAGCAGGATCAGCCACGTGCATGTGCTAACTAGGTCTTGGTCAAATTTGATTGGAGTAGCAAAATGCCTTTTTAACTTCTAGACTCTAATCGCGTAAAGAGGACATCTCCAGTACGATCATCAAAGGTCAAAGTAGGTGCCCATGCTTTTGACGTAATTTTTGTCTCCTCCAGTCGTTCGTCGTCACTAAATTGTGCTGTCGTTTACTAGGTTCCATGTGGCTTTTAAGTTGCTGTTGTTTATAAGCAGATGTCGTTTTAGATTCTGTTGTCGTTTTTAGGTTATTGTTATATGTGATGCGGATGTCGTCTATCGTCCTTTATAAGGCTGTTTTTGTTGGTGAAGTGGATGTCGTTTAACATTTCAGTCATTTGATGTTATTATCGTTCATAATGTTCATGTCATTATGCTGTCGTTTATGAGATTATTGTCGTTTTCAGGTGATTGTCGCTTACAATGTTGTTGTCGTGATTAAGCTGTAGTTGTTTTTATGTTCATGGTCATTTTCAAGTCATGGTTTTTACATTCCAAAGCTTGTGAGTAAACGAACTTGCAAAGCTAGTAGCTGCAATGTTTAAATTAAATTAATAAGAAATCTAATTTTGCTTATTTCATTCAAGCACCGGACAAAAAAGAAGCTTGGACAAAGTGAGGGAAACAGGTTAGTGTGGAGACGATGAGAGAAGTGGTGTTGGATATTTGAGAGAAGATAACCAATCTAATTTCCCTTTTCAATGATTAAATTTAGTGCTGGGTCTTCCCTTGCACAAAAGTTTCAAGTGCTCGTTGCAAGTAACTCTTTAGGGATCTGTTTAGTTTGTTGATTCGAATTTTTAATTTGAATTTAGATGTAATTTTATGTGAGTTTTGTACTATAGTAAAAAGTTAGATGTGATTATTTTTTAGAGTTTTTAACTATAGCAAAACTCGAATTATAAACTCAAATCGGAAAAATGAAATGGACCTAGATTATTTAGTTGTGAAAACTTTTGATTCTGTGGCGCATAAAACTAGAACTTGAAAAACTAACAGCTGATAACTTCAAGTTCTTATTAATGAAAATGCTTGTATTAACTGTTAACATAATTCAAGGACCCGGTAAAAGAGGAAAAACTGAAGGAAAAAAAAAAACTCACTATAGAAACTTTAATTACTCATGATATCTGCTTGACTGTCTCTCTCTTCAGCAAAGCAGCATCCAAGAATTCGTCCAATGCTTTGACAGAAGACCCCTTGAAACCACTCTCAGCTTTCATGGCATTCCTCATAATCTCCCTAACCTCGTAAACCTTCCTCCTGATTCCATTTTCCCTCTCTGATCCAACATTTATCACCAACTCAATTTTTTGATCATTTCTTCATGTCCAACTCTGGAGCTCTTTCCTCTCGCAACCTCCACACACACTCCCAACTTTTCTTCTAAAAACTCGACATTGTAGAACTGGTCCGCTGACAGAGGCCATCCAATTATTGGCACGCCATAACCAAGAGCTTCAAGAGTTGAATTCCAACCACAATGACTCAAGAAAGCAGACCCAGCTTCATGACTCAATATATATTGCTGTAGTGCCCATTTATGCAAAAGTAACCCTCTTTTCGACTCTCTAATTCTGTCCTCCAATCCTATAGGCAGCCACTCCTCAGCTCTGAACTCCCCATTTATATCAAACCCAAACGGCAGCCTAACAACCCATATGAAATTCTTACCACTAGATTCAAGAGCCATGGCTAATCCCATCATTTGTGATGCTGATATGGTGTTCTGTGACCCAAACGACACATAAAGTACTGATCTTGCAGGTTTTGAGTCGAGCCATATTGTGCACATCTCTGACGTATTTCTGCCCTCTTTCCTCACAACAACCGGCAAAACGACAGGGCCAATGGGCCAAACAGGTCGTCCCAATTTCCGCCTGAAGTAGAGTAACCCAGTCTCGGCCTCAAGCTCTTCCACGGTGTTGAACAAAACGGCGTCGGAAGAAACCATTCGGATAACACTCGCTTCCGCATAATCACTGAATCCCTATTAGACCCATCCGCCGCTCGCAAGAACGGCGTCATCTGAGTGACGTGGATTCCAGAAGCTTCTGGAAAATCGGGCAACGCGACCTCATGATCACGGCTGCCGCCGATGATATTGCGGTGAGGCAAGTTCATCCACAGAGAGTAGTAACAGGCGTATCCAAAGGCACTGCCTGCAGCAAATATGGCGTGGGAAACATCGAACTCGCTGGAGATCTCCTGGGACCATCCCAAGAACATGTCGGAGATTTTGCAGAGGAGGCGGCCGGTTTCGTGTTTAACAAGGTCGGAGATGAGGTTTCTGAAGGAGGGTTGAGAAAGAGGCTACCACGAAGTTGGGGAGGAGATGGTAGGGAAGGATGTCGGCGTTCTCTATGCCGGGAGGGACGCCATAGCTGGAGCCGAAAAAGGGGATTGTGAGAAGGCGAATATTGTTGTTATTGTTTGGAGGGAGATATGATGAGAAATTGGGGATGTTGAGTTTGGTTGTGACAAAGGTTATGGTGCAATTGTGTGTTTGTTGGAGTTGATTGGCCAGTTCTATGAAGGGAATTATGTGGCCTCGTGCCATGAAAGGGAATAGCACTATGTTGTCTTGAAGGGTCTTTCTCAGCCATTGCTAATTAAGCTTGGACTCGGTGAGAGCAAGCTGAGGGTGATACAGGAAGATAGAGATCGGTTAATGTTATCACGAGCTAGCTAGCTATTTCACGTGTAACTTTCGGTACGTTCATTTCACACTTCGACTTGTGTAAATTAGAAAAAGAAATTTAGGGTTTGTTCTTTTAGAGTTTAACTTGAGTATAATTTTTTAGTTGAATTTGAGTTATAATTTGAGTTTATATTTGGTTGTGTACATTTGAGTTATGATTTGAGATAAAAATCTTTTTGAGTTTGTATTTGAGTGAGTCAAAACTTGAATTTATATTTAGATAGTATTTTAATAAAAACTTAATGCTGATGGAAAATTGAGATTAATAGGCTTGTCTAACAAAAAAGGAGCCCCGCCGATTAATCAGGCATAACAAGCTTTTTCCTCTCCTTTTTTTTTTTCCCCTTCCTTTTCCTTTTTTCTTCCGGTCATTCAGTCGGTTTTTCTAACAGCTAGCATAGTTTGGCATTTTGTTGACGTGATTGGCCAAGGGAAAGAAGAAAAAAAAGTTGACCGATTAATGCCAAATTTGAATAGCATCGTTTTTTTTTTTTTTCTTTGGGAAGAGAAAGAAGCAGGATCAGCCAGATGAAACTTGAACTCGAGTTTTAGTCTTAAACTCGAGTTTGAACTCGAGTTTAAATTCGAGTTTAAACTTAAAAGAACATGAACTCGAATAAAGTTGTAACTCGAGTTACTTTTTTTGAGTTTTTCACTCAAAAGAACAAGCCCTTAAGTTGTAAAATGAAGAAGGCCGACCTCAATTAATTTGGAATTAAAGTTTATATTTATTGTTGTAAAATGATAGGGTTGTTCTTTTGGAGTATAACTTGAGTGTAGTTTTTGAGTTGAATTTGAGTTATAACTTGAGTTGAAGTTAAAATTTGAATAAAATTGAGTAAAATTGAATAAAGTTAAAACTTAAAAGAACGTGAACTTGAATAAAATTGAAACTTGAGTTGTCTTTTTTTGAGTTTTTTAGACAAAAGAACATGACTTTTATTTATTTTAATTTTGTTTTTATGATATGGTCAATTAATTAGGACTTAATTAGTTCAACAACTCAAATTGTAAAGATTTAAACTTTGTTGGTTAGAAATGTAGAATTTAAACTGTAGTGATTCAAACTGTGATCTAAACCGCTGTTTGAATATGTAAATAATTTGTAATTTGAATTGTGAATAAAATTCAAACTGCGTTTGGATAACGTATTGAAAACTGTCATTAGAGTTTTGTAATAAATATTATAAAACCTCATTATAAATAACATTAAAAATATGCAATATGAGTGAGGATTTGTTCATCTTTTTATTATGAACACATTAAAAAAATCATTTCAATCGGAATTAAAATAAAAAAAGTTATAACATTTTTAAGATTGAAATTGAAAAAAAAATAGAATATGAAATTATTGAACTATTGACAACAATTTATATTGTTAAAATTGAGAGAGAGAGATGAATTCTAAAATCAATCATTTAAGTTGTCATTGAACCATTGTTAATGATTTAAAATGTTCTTGAATTTTTCTCTTCCAAATACCAGTTTAAATCCTGAATTATAGTTTGAATCTTAAACAATAATTTGTGTTGTCGAAATAAATAGGAACTTAGTTAATTTTAGACATCTATTCACTTGAAAGTTCATTTGTGGGATCCAACTCACAAGCATCCACCCAGAGCCCAGCCCTATCCCTCTTCACATGCCATCAGAACCAAAAGATCTCAGGTACAACCTCTCATACATTTATAGGATCACACCATTAATTGCAAAAAAAAAGGAAAAAGATCTTCTTGGTAGATGCAACATTAAATTTAATTAAAATAACATCATATTAAAAAATATGTAAAACATATAATTTTTAATATAAATCTAACGCTTAAAAAGTAAAAAACTACCGTTCATTTTTTTTAATCCTACCAGAAGAACTCTCAAAGAAAAAAAAAATCAACCAAAAGAAGAAACTAAACTAAAGAAGAAAATCCAAATATAAAGTTAAAAGGGCGTAGTTGATATCACAATTCACAAGTAATTATTGAAAAGAAAGCCAAATTATGTCATTAATATAGATAGGAAAGTTGTGGGTGCAAAATAATATGGCATTCTTGACTGTGAGACCTCAAAAAAAGACTCATTGGTGAGACTTATTTTTAATTATTAGATTAAATTTTTAATAATTATATTTGTGCAAATCTGTATTTTAAATTTATAGTGTGCCGCACATAATTACTCTTATTACATATCTGACCGTTAAAAAATTAATTCAACAGTTAAAAACAAAAGTCTCATTAGTGAGTCTTGTTTAGGAATCTCACTGTAAAAATTACCAAATAATATACATATTAATTATTAGGAAATTTTTAGAGTAGAATAAGCTACTTTACTCTATTAATGGAGTAAGTATTTTCAAATGTTAGATTATTTAAATTTAAAAAAAATCTGTATAAAAAATTTACGGCGTACCAAACAAAATGCTCCACTGATAGAATACAGTAACTTGCTCTCCCGTAATGTATTATTCTAACATTTTTCTACAACGGCCACGAGAAAACGTTGATCTATTTTTCTCGTTTGCCAAAACAAGGTGAAAATTGATGGCAGATGTCACTTTTCCAAGTCAATCCCAAAGAAGACCAAAAAAACTCGGATTATAATAACAATCCTCATCGGACATATTCTCCCCCTGTATAATTCATTTCGTAGAAGTTGTATCAAATCTCAATTTGATTGCCAAATAGTAATAGTATTGATCCAATATGGGCGAGAATATGAGATCATCATCATCATCATCATCATCAAGATCAGAAACTGTGGTGGTGATGTTCCCTTTCATGGCACAAGGCCACATCATACCATTCCTGGCTTTGGCTCTCCAAATAGAACGCAAGAATGGATTCTCCATAATCTTCATCAACACGCCTCTCAATATCAGAAAGCTCCGATCATCTCTCCCTCAGAACTCCTCCATTCGTCTTCTCGAAATCCCCTTCTCCGCCACCGACCACGGCCTCCCTCCCGACTCCGAGAACACCGACGTCCTTCCCTACCCCCTGGTCATCCGCCTTCTAGAAGCTTCCACTTCTGTCGCCCCTTCCTTCCAGAAAATTCTCCAAGATCTCATCCTTGCTGGCCGAAAACCGCTCTGCGTCATCGCCGACATCTTCTTCGGCTGGACGGCCACCGTCTCCAAAGAGCTCGGAATCTTCCACGCCGTCTTCAGCGGCTCCAGCGGCTTCGGCCTCGCCTGTTATTGCTCTCTCTGGCTCAATCTTCCTCACCGGAGAAACGGCGGCTCCGACGAGTTTTCTTTGCCGGATTTTGAAGAAGCGAAGGAGATTCATGTCTCTCAATTGCCTCTCAATATCTTCGAGGCTGATGGTGAGGATTCTTGGTCTAAAATCCAGAGGCAAAATCTGTCTTCTTGGTTTGATTCCGACGGGATTTTGTTCAACACTGTTGGGTGTTTCGATCAGCTAGGCTTGATGTATTTCGAGAGAAAGTTCGGCCGTCCGGTATGGCCAATCGGACCGGTTCTTTTGTCGTCGGAAAGCCGAGCTTCTGTAGGGAA